AGACGAGGGCCCTCAGTCATGAGGGATGCCCGCTGCAACGTCTCCACATAGCCAGCTGCTGTTTGACGCCCCTGCACAACCTGAAGCTCCATTGTCCCATTGAAGGAAAACGCACCCCAAATCATGATGGCGCCCCCACCACTGTGCCGTGTAGAAAACATCTCAGGTGGGATCTCCTTGTCATGCCAGTAACGTTGGAAGCCATCAGGACCATCAAGGTTAAATTTTTTCTCATCAGAGAAGACAACTTTCTTCCACCTTTCAATGTCCCATGTTTGGTGCACCCTTGCAAAGTCCAAATGGGCAATTTTGTGGCGGTGAAGACGACGTGGCCTTTGAAGACGTTTTTTGTTTCTGAAGCCCTTCTCTCGCAGATGCCGTCTGATGGTTATTGGACTGCAGTCAGCACCAGTAATGGCCTTAATTTGGTAGGACGTTCAAAGTCAGTGAGCTTTTTTGCTTTTGCCATCAGGAGGTGTAAAGACTTGACAGAAAATGACATGGAATCCAGATTTTTGCACAGCTTTTGGCTTTTAAAGACTATGGTCTTAAACTTTTGATCAGCTGAAAAAATCTTGTTTGAGAGTAAATCCAGTTTTCAGAAAATTCCCTGCTCAAAAGTTCTTGTCTCTTGCACTGCTTTTTTCTTTAACATTGTGAAGCTCTACTTAGAACCTTCTTAAGATCCAATAGTGCAAAATGCAAATTCTTGCAATTTTTTGACTGGTCTTAAGATTTTGATCAGGAGTGTATAATACTCTCTACATTCCAGAGAGGACATTACGGTTAAATAAGCCTATTGTTTGAAGGCTTAACTTTAATTAATCAATCAAACCGATGTGCTCTGCTTTGAAATACTTTATAAATCAAACATTTTTCAACCAAACCTGTCTAAATAATATCGGTGTTTAACTCCCACTGATTGGGGAAAGCTAGCGGGAGTTTTTATAACAGTGTGCCAGGAGTTAGGCGTTTTCTCTTGGTATACCGAACCTGGAGCGTCTGGCCAGCTGACAGCTGGCTGTTAACGCAGCGGTAGCAGACAGGTCCAAAAATGTCAGAGCAATATTGCAGTTAGGTGATGTATTGATGAACCGATCAGATATTTGAGATTTACACACTTACATTCTCGCCTAAAAACGTTGTACCAAATCACGTTGTGTCATTTAAAGTGTTATATAGCTAAATAATTAGTTGCTATTCACTGCCATTGATGCTCTGTCTGAACGTCCAGTTGGAACCCGCAATGAATTATGGGGTATCGTGGGCCGTGAAGGATACACTGGACCCATCCTTCAAATCTGGGGAAAAGAAGGATGCATTTGAAGGATGCGTTTGAAGGAGTCTTTGAATTCGGACAGGCCTTGTCACCACGCTATGATGTAATCGGCCTACAAATCTGTCCTTCGAAGGATGCAGACCCTGAATTCGGACACAGCTTATAACAGTGTCATGAGCACAGTGTCATAGCCAGTTAGCTATGACACTGTGCTCATCTCCAACTGAGGGTGAGAAAATGTTTCAAATGGATTTGGGTTCCACACCTATTAACTTGGTACCTGCCATGTTTTTTTCTTCTTTTTTTGGTGCACACATATTTTTATTATTTTCTTACAGAGAAGTGCAGCATCTGTTATTCATTCACTTGCTGATCTCATGAACATGTCATGTTCATTCACTTGTATCCACAGTGCTATCTGAATGCTGCTGTTTTCTCTGGGTCACTTCCAAACATAACAAGTAGAGGAGGATTGGTTTGTCTTTTTGGTTTAAAGTGAAAGTTTGGTCCCCCGTTGGGTGGATGGTGGGTGTTCAGAGGTTCAGCAGGTGTGCAGTTTCATAGTATGCAAAGTCACAGTCTGAGCTAATAGGGACATTAGCTAAAGCTGGATTGCTCTGTGTGTGTTCATCATGGTGTTTCTGTGCACATGAATATATTGTCACAATCCTCTCTACATAATTACAACATCTTTTATTTGTCCACAGCTGTCCACTGTGAGCTATCGCAGGTTGTATTTTTCCTTCATTTAGCCTCCTATTCCACCACTCCAGATTCCTACCTGGCCTTAGAGACTTCTCAGGGTATTTCTTCAAATACTGTATATAGTCATAAACATTAGTTTCACTAATGCTAAAGCGCTATACCAACATGGTATTTAGCAGGTATTTCTTTTGTACTTTAATTTACTTTTTTTTAAGTTGATGATTTTAATCTCAAAATTAAAAAAGCTTAAGTTTGGTCACTTGGACCAGATTCATTGCTGAAGATCTCAGCTCATCTACTAAACTGTGTGAATGATGTGAATTAAATTTTCCACCAGTTTGTATAGTTTCCTCTTTTTTTGGATCACACAAAACTCATTAAAACCATATGAGTGTAAATGATTATTATTTTTGACACAGAAACAGAACTAGCACCATCTTGACTCCTTAACTTTAATGGTATTATGAGGTTTATATCACCTTTCAGTAAAGAAAAAATGTGTGCGTGTGCACGTTTGTGTGTCACTGCTTGTGTAGCTGAGTCACATGTTCTTTTAAATGAAGAGATAACCCAGTCTCATACGGTCCTTATTTTCTGCCCATTAGAACCGCTGTAAGCAGCTTAAGTGTGCAGACTGCCTCTGTTTGAGCTCTGAGTTAAGGACCAGATTGTCCTTCCCTGTAGGAAAGAAAATGGCCCCAGGTGCCCTTTTACAAGACTATTTTATCCATCTTCTGAGTCACACTGCATATGTTAGATGATCAAAAATGACCAGTAAACACAAAAAGCAGATTTAAAATGATTTCTTCAATATTCTATCCATAATATTTCTGGTGTTAGCAGAAAAGTAATAATTTCCTAAACCTTAATTGGTTTTATACATCTCTGTGGAGGATGTCTGGCCAACTTTTATTTATTTATTTATTTATTTATTTATTTATTTATTTATTTATTTATTATTCAGTGAAATTTGAGGCGTTTTCAGTGTGTGCAATCTGCCACAGCATCTCATCTAAGTTTAGGTCCAAACTTTGAATCACTTTTGTTTTATTTTTGGACTTGTTGGTGCTTTCAAGATCACTGCCCTGCTGTATGATCAGACTGCACTATAAAAAATATTAACATATTTAACAGTGATGTACAGTAAAATCCAACAGGAAAAATCTATAAACTGTAAACAATTTGAAACTGTTGATGTCATGTGAAGTTGCCATAAGTAAAACATAAATCAGTGAAAACTGTACTTGTGTTACAGTGTATTTGTCAGTCTTTCACAGTAGAACTGAGAAGTCCTTGTCTGTTGCTACCAGTGTTAGCTCTAGCCTTCGTGACTGGCAGAGGCTCAGCATTTAAAAAGGAGGCATGACTACAAAATGCAGTCGATGTGCGTTTATTCAGAGCTGCATGTTACATTTCCACTGACACCCATTACAAAGTGAGACAAAAAAGCTGGCTTTTATACCTTAGGCCAGAGGTTCCCAAACTGTGGGGCGCGCAGTGCCATTGCAGGGGGTTACGGGATGTCAAACCTAAGTCAAGGACTTTTCATAACAATATGGATTAAATATATAAATTGAAAAACAGATAAACAGACAGAAGATGGTATTAAAAATGGAAGTTAAGATGCATTTTATTACACTGGTATTGGGGATTACAACTTTTGGAGAGCAGATTTTCATATCAGTACAGTGGACCATTAAAAACCCTTACAACTGCCTATTTTAATAGTTCAACAAGACTAAATATACCTTATTATGCATTAATACGCACTGTGAAAACTGTCTTAGGACTACTGCAGAAGACAATATCTACAGTTTTATCTATTCTTTCAGGAAGAGAAATAAAAGTCTCTCCTGGGTTGATTTGCAAACTTCAGCCAGTAGCACATCAAGTAGCACTGGCTATAGATATTCAGCTTCCCAAACTTCATTTTCTTTCAAATATTTTAAATATGCTGTACTAAACAATCTGTAGTTATGTTGTAGAGAAAAAAAATGTAAATCTGTGAATGCTACCTTCCTAGCAGGAAATACTGTAGGTTAATTGAAGTCTGAGTGTGTTTCCCAAGTCACCAACAGACATGCTAAAAAAAAAAAAAAGCTACATAGAATTGGTTTTGGGAACAATCATTTAAAATGCATAGATGGTAAATTATTAATTTTGTATTCATGTCAGATGTGTGGTCCATACTAGTTTGCAAGGACCATGCTAATTAACTTAGCTGATTAGCAAACTACAATGTTTAAAAACGTCAGCACAAAGAAGACGTGAGTTTTCTAAGACTTTTGCTGTGTTTATGAGGCCATACTAACTCCTACTGGACAAAATATCTATTATTTGTTAAAATCAAGTTCTGTTACATAATAAGGTCATTGATAAAGAAGGAAAGTAGGAGAACGATAATACTTGATTTAAAAAGATGACTACCATCCTGGAGGAGAGATATTTAAAAAAAAAAAGTTTTCTTTTTTAGTTTTGAAGATGAGGAGAGAGGAAATTAAAGCAGTGTTTATGTCCTGGAGTTTGTTTTTGTGGTGAATTACTAATGTGTTCATCACAATAGACATGGATTTTGAATTTGTTGTTTTTCCTTATTGATGATCCCCCACTGGAATCAATTCTAGGAATCAAAACTCCTTTATTCACATTCATGAAAGAACAGCCTCTTTTTCAGCTCCATTTTTTTGAAACTTTAGCATTCAAATGCATGACAACCCACCAATACATATGTGAGATTTCCCCATTAAAACCTGTGTCCATTTATGTTTTGTGTCTGAATGTGGGAATCTTTTGGGGGGGGGAAATGGAGCCGCTTTGGCTAGATGAGCCTGCCGAGGGGAAATTACCTACCTACCAAGCAGCTCGAGGAAGACAAAATACCCAGCTGACACACTACCACACACACACCTTTACAAAAAAAGTTTTAGTAAAACTTACCAGTGCTGAATGCTAATGCTGCTGTGCTTTCTTTCCTCTGATCTTCCTCCTGCCCCTTCCCTCCTTTGTGTTGCTGCAGATGCGATTCAGAGAACCGATACCTTGGTAACCCTCTCCGTGGAACTTGTTACTGTAAGTACGCTGCCAATGTTTTTCTGAGTCCTGGTCAGGATGTGTGTGCACCCTTCTATTATTATTCCTGGATACAAACTGACCTTGCTGGTCATTTTGTATGTAGACGCACAACTCTGGAGTAGAAACCGTTCCTCATCTGAATTTCAACCAGCCTACTGTAAAATAATAATAATAAAAAAAAAACATAACTGTGTACTGTTCAGCTGTGTGCTGCTGCTGCAATGTCGCCTTACTGCATAGAACACATCAAACTTTCAGAACTAGTACATAGCACACAACATTTCCTCTTCCAGTCTTGGAGTTAAAAGTCCTAAAATGTGTAATTCCAACACCTTCTGCTGCTGTTGGAACAACAAAACGGCTTTAAATCAGGTTTAAGTTTAATCTGACTGTCAGACTGTTTCCACAAGGAAGTTGGCAACACCAAGTTAAACCAAAAGAATACCCTGGAGACTAGATGCTGCTTGTTTAATTGAACAGATGGTGAAAACTGAAATGACAAAATAGACTCAACACTAAAGTAACATTTTAGCACAATAAGCAATAATATATAAAATTCATCAGTATAAACTGTGAGATGATGCAATTTATGGTGTTCCTGCCAGATAATTCAGCATAAAGGACATTTTTTGATTACATTTCCATGCATGTGGGCTTTTCTTTTGTTAAAAAACGAACAACTGGAAGTCTGGAACCAAACGTAGAATTTACTGATAGTATTTCCTAATGAAAACTTCCGTAAAGCATTAATTGTTCACTTAAACAACTGTTTTTTTTTGTTTTTGTTTTTTAATGTATGAACTTATTTATTCAGATAAATACACACTGACATCTATAATAAGACACTTCTGCCTATTAAGTCAATGCTTAAGTCAATTCTGCCATTCAAAATTATGAGCTAAAATAATAGAGACTAACTGTATCATCAGTGTCTGCTGTAATGTTCGTAACGACTGCTGTGGTTAGAGATTTAATTTGGACTCTAGTAACAGGAAGTAGCACATTGTAGTGATTAGCTTGGCATACATGGAAACAGTGTGAATAAAGAGAAGCAGCTGTAACCTGCACATGTGACAAGTGCTGCAAGTATGCAGAGCAGATCAGAACATCATTAGAAAAGGTTAATGGAAATAGGAAAATTATAAACCTCAAGTAGCACAGTTTCACAAAAAAGGTTGTACTCACTTGGGGTGGATTTTGATTTTTTGTAAAAAGATTAATGTGATAAAAAGATAAATTATTTTTCGACAAAGCACATTTACCAGATAACATTTACCTCACATGACTTATCAGCCGTTTCTGCTGTCGGAGTCTTTCTGGAAATATGTAACATCGTAAATACTAGTTGACATGACAGAACAATTACAACTTGCTTGATAGCAACCTAGTCCTGTAAACTTTTCTCCTTTTTTCTATGATGTGTGGCTCATGCTATTTTACTTCCTCTTTCTTACAGCCATATGTAACACTAACATTTGATAATAATACTCTTAGCTTAGCCTGCTTGATGCTCTCCAAACTAGTAGATGGAAACATGACTAATTTGCATTTTTTTTTGTTTTTTTGTTTTTTGGTGACATTTTGAAAGTTTGCTCGGATTTTGGCACTAGCCTATAAATGATTTAGAAATGTGTTGCTGACAAAAAAATCTGATTGGAATATCCCCAAAGCACAGAGACATTTAGAAAAATAAATGTTTCCTTTTTTTCCTAGTTTTGAAGATGGGGAGAGGAAATTAAAGCAATATTTATGTCCTGGAGTTTATTTTCATGTTTCCAGATGCAATGAGATGCATTGACTTTCCTCATTTGCAACAAATTGTTGGTTTTTGACTCTGGAGGGCAGATGAAGGAGGAAATCTGGAGACAAAACAGATGTTTTGTAGCATGCAAGTGTGCTTGCTTGCGCCTGCATGGGGGAAAATTATTTGTCCATGGATTGCAGTCATCATTACAAATATTACACCATACTGACAGAAAGTTCAAGTTCTGTCAATGTCAATAACCATATAATGCGACTATGAAAGCTGCAACGTCAGACAAAATGTACCAATTAGAAGAGTTCAGCAGAAAGAGAAAAGTCAGAAAAGCCCTATAAATATATATGAAGGTGTTGGACAGGTAGAAAGACAGACAGATAAGAAAAAGTCAATGTATTAGGATGATATTGTAAAGGAAAAACCATGTGTTATGCAATAAGTTTCTTTTCTAAGGAAACATTTTGAACTTCTGGCTTTAAGACTGATGTCTAAAAGCACTAGGTGGCACCAGCATTATGTGTTGCTTCCAATAATGCATATGTATCCAGACGCACATGCACCCGTTTTGGGAGCTATCAGTCAGCCAGTGCAGGGCTCCTCGATATTGCTGTGACTACAGCTGAAGTGCCATGTGGGTTTTTCCACATGCGTTTGACTCCATTGTGACTTTCATTAATGTGGCATTACGGTGTAACACTGTTTGAACAAGAGCGAGCACAATCAGATGTAAATACATCCAAAACCTTTTCTGCTATGCAGTCGCTATTTTCTGCACACTCATGCAAGACTGCATATGTGTGCAAATTAGATATTTTAAAAGCAATCTACTTCCTTTTAATATGAGTGGAGTCACAACTGTGACTGAGGTCAATATTAGCTTTAAATGTCATTGAGCAGCAGGACTGATAAGGAAAAACGTAATCTGTCTCAGGTCACCTTATGCAGTATGAGATTATTTGTAGTAGGAGTTTGCATCAACTGGGTTGCTGTTCTTCAACACAATTTAGATTAATACAACAGAATTTAAGTATTTGACACTGATACTGATTGTTTTCTTCCCCCCAAGTTTCGCACTTATAAAGAATAAAGAGGTTTGTATTTTTGATCAAAGGTACACCTCAACTGTGGGTGACAGAATCTTAAAAAAGGTCATGAATATTCCATTGTATGATCTTCAGATAATTAAAATAGCAGTATTATGTATTTTCCAACCACATAGTGTCATGTTACAGCATAATCACTTAACTATGTTACCCTTAGTAGATATAAAATGCTGCTTATATTAACCATAACTTAAAATAAATTTTACTTTGCAATTTAACGCCTTAAAATTGGGACTCTGTCTCTTTAAAAAGCTCCTGTTCTTTCTGAAGCTCTGCCATGAGAAAGTCATGGCAACATGGCTCCTCTAAGAACGTCCCTTAAGAACGTTTTTACCAGCGTTCTTCTGAGAAGTAGCTCAGCAGTTCCACCAGGTGTTTGCTAATTGCTGCTGGGTAGTCTGAAGGAGCTGAGAGGAGGAGTCGGATTGGACCCTGCAGCTCTCAGGAGGTGGAGCTAGGCACCCAGTCATTTATCACAGCTGAATGGTTGCTATGGAGATTAAAGGCTTTCTTATACGTGAATGAATTAAGGCAACACACCAGGTTTGTGTTTGATGAGAGAATAACATTATAACATGATGTAAAGCCTCCTACTGCCTCTTTATCAGTTAACTGCATGAAACGTGTTTGATACAATACACATTAATATTTGTAGATCATTTGGAAGTGTTTTGTATGCGACATCAATCTGCTAAGGTCGACAGTTGGCACAAACAGTTTTACAGTAGCTAAAACGTCACCTTGTGAGCGCTGGCTGTCCTGGTGGAGAGCAAACGGGGCCAGGGTTAGGTCATGAATATGACCCAATTCAATTATTTAAGGAAACCTGTCAGCATCCATTTGTATTGTGGGAAATGAAGGACTTTGTCAAGAGAAATGTAGCCAATCAAAATGCTGTTTGCTGACATTGTGCTCTGAATACACCAGGCACACCTGAGTATGTTTGAATGTTAATGATGAACCAAAACAGTAATTCTTTACAGTGTGAGGATCGCTGATTTAGCCGCCTTCAAACACAAAATGGGAGTTTTAAAACTGAACGTGTCATCTAAGGAAGCTGATCTATTGATATAAATATTACCCAATGTGGTCTCACGGTCAAGGTTTTAATTGGAAGAACTTCTTTCAAACATGCTGGAGAGGTTTACAGATATTACATAAATTTCAGTTTTAAGCAAACAAAAAAGAAAATCCAGCAGCAGATTGGGTTTGTTTCCCTCGTCATGTTGCTTAGGGGTGGCTCTCCTGCCTGTTTGAGACCTTTGTTGTCTTAAATTATATTATTAATAAATGGCTCATTAGGAGGATTTTATTGACCTTGGCAACATGCAGAGGATGTAGTTCAGTTATTTGAATCAGTTGTTTATAGGAAATATTTTAAAATTTTTGTGCAGGACCCTGAAGGCCAGGAGCAGTGGACACTGCTCTACATCTCCTGCTTTATTAGAATAATCTGGCTTTTTATGGACTTTAGTAAAATATCCCTTCAAGTATCCATCCAGCTACTTTCATATAGCTTAAATGGTTGGATCTGTTCCCCATACATCACTCTAGCTTCAGTCAAAATATGCAACAATGGTCCCGAACACTTGCAGTGAGTCAGAGGTCGGAGATGAACCATTTATGTAAACTAAACACTCAAAGTTGAGGAGCTACATTTACAGATCTAACGCCCTTTCCATCAACTCTTGTCTTTGTCAGACCTTTGTGGAAAAAGCCCCGGCTGTAGTTGTGTTGTTCACAGAATTTTAATCAAACCATTTTGTTTTCAGGCAGACTGAGGCACATCTGTTCATGGGGAGCTTTGTGCATAAACATTTTGTCACATTTCTTGAAATGCTCACATTATCATAGAGTATTGACACTAAAGTTCTATAATTTGTACCACTCATAAAGTGTGAACTAAGTGCAAGTGTGGTAAAAACAACAACAACAACAACAACAACAACAACAAAAAAACAGTTAACACTTCTTTCATACTAACTTTTTAAATTGTTGGGTCTGAATGGAACAATGAGATCTCTTCCAACATTGTCTATAAACACTTTGGAGGCATTTTACACTTGTTCACTGACACACCAGTGGGGTAAAAATAAAAGGCAGGCTGTGACTGTGTGATAATACATAATGTGATA